CTCCTCCTTCCGCGCTTGGATGCCCCGGGGACCTCCGAGCATCTCCGTGGCGCCCCTCCTCCCCGCCAGCCCCTCCAGTGGCGCGACCAGGGCGTCGTGCGACCAGGGCGTCCGAGAGCCTCGCGTGCAGCAGCCTCCTATGTGGAGGCCAGGCCCACCCGTGGGAGCCCCCCCCCCCCGCGGGCCTCCCGGCGGCCTGCTGGGCGCTCTCCCCGGGCCGGGCCATCGAAGGACCTCTGGAGAATTACCCTGCTTCCCAGGGGATCCCTCCCTCCTCCCTCCTCCCTCCTCCTGTCTATCTCCTCCCTCTTCCTTCCTCCCTCCTCCCTCCTCCCTCCTTCCTCCTCCCTCCTCCGACCTTCCGCGCGGATTTCTTGGATCCGCACCGGACCCCCCTCCCTGGCGCGCGGTGCGCGCCAGGGCCGGCGCCGGAGGCGCCGCCAGGGGGGCCTAGCGCGGATCCAGAACATCCGTGCGGAGCGCCAAAGGCTTCTGCTGGTGGCGCTTTCCTCTGCTGCGCACGTTCCCGGCCGTTCTCGACGGTTCCTTCCGGCCTCGGCGGGCGCTCGCCCGGCGGCGGCGCCTCGGCGGGAGCGTTCCAAAGGGGAGCCGGCATCGTTCCGGAGAGGCCGCCGGCGACCCGAGGTGCAGGACCCCGAGGCCAAGGTCGGCGGCGCGCCCGGGGGGGGAGCGAGGAGGGACAGGCTCAGAGGCGACGATAGGGGCGAGGAGCCCAGGGGAGAGCAATACTTTGGACGCCCGACATGGGTACGGAAAACATGGGTACAATGCCCAACAACAGATGCTGTCCCGAACCAACAGCGGCCGCTGTTGGGCAGGCGGCCTTGTGTCTCAATTGGACAGTCCGCGGCGGCGCGGACAGCGAATCCTGTTCAAAATGAACAGGAACTGCTGCTGAGCATTGTACCCGTTCTTTCCGTGCCCATCTCGTTCGTGCAGAAATGCATGTATTCAGGTGCGCCGATGATCTATGTCTTCGAAAAGGCTCCCGAGCGAATGCGTGTAATGCTTGCCCCTGGGCTATTCGCCCCTATCGTCGCCGCCGACAGGCCTTCTCAGAAGGCGGCGGGGCTTCTCGGAAACCCTCGCGCCGTCCGAGAGGTTGTTGCTCTGTCTGCGGGGAAGACTCAGAAACCTTCACCGGGAGGCCGGGGAACTCCTCATGGCGTCTCAACATCGCAGAGCGGATCTCGTTCGGAGAACGATAGGAAGGGCCCGGAGTGTCCTGCAGAATTTCGTTCTGGATTTCGGGGTGAATTTCGTGCGGTCTTCCTTGGCCAGGAATGGAGACTAAACAAAACGCGAAGTTCACTTCGTTTTTCACTCGATGTTTCGGGGTTTTGCATTGGCAGAAATCCACGCACAAATCCGCTGCAGCACGTCTGCAAGGTCGGTGCAGTGAGACTTCCCAGTCGCCGCCGAATTCCCTGGTTATAAGTGCGAGTCGCTGGCGTTGGCGGCAGTGTTGCTGGTCTGCTGATGGTGGCACGGTGGTCACGGCGTGCTGGATGCTTCCAGGAAGGCCATGTGTAGGGGTACGGGCTGGATGCTGCCCACCAATAGTTGTATAAGCACGCAGTGGCACAGAGAGGGGAGGCGGCCGTAGCATCTGAGCTCGGGATGGGCCTGATCGGGCTCTGGGGTCAACCATGAATGCCTTCGCGCTGCATTCTTCCTGGGAGCCTCTTGGAGGCTTCGTGGGGCCATCTTCGAGCACTCTTGGGGCCATTTTGGGAGCCTTTTGGGCTCTCTTAGGGTTCTCTTGGTGCTCTCTTAGGGCTCTCCGAGGATGCCTCGGGGGCCCTCGTGGGGCCATGTAGGGGGGCATCGATCAAACATGGGGCGTTCCCTAATCAGGGCAGCCCCTCCGAAGCTCGAAAAGGCGCCTCCTGGCGCTCTGTTGGGGTGCTGGGAGTCGCGCTCGCGCCGAGGGTCAGCGCGACTGTGCGCAGCGGTGGATGCATCGTGTGCGCGCCTGTGGGCGTGGCGCTGCACGGCCCCTGCCACCCCCACGGCCGAGCATCGCCGCTCGCTCCTGCGCCGACGCAGGCACCCTCAATATGACGTGAAGCTCCCACCTCGGCGAGGCGTGCCGCTTCTGATCCTCGCCCGCCGCACCACCGCCGCCCGCTCATTCTCATCATCTCTAGGCCTCCTACACGGGGTCGGAGTAGATGGAGTCGGAGGGTCGCGCCGCATCGCTGATGCGGTTCGATGCGAAGCCCGTGTTCCTCCCCGCCGACGTCGCCGAGGCAACGCCCACGTCGACGATGCATCGCTGGTGCATCGCCGATGCATCGCCGATGTATCGGCGATGCGACGCGATCCTCCGACCCCATCTGCTCAGACCCCATCTAGGATGCCTCTACCATCGTCGTCGAGCACAGGCGCACGCCCCTTCCTCTGTATACAGGAACTCCCGATCAACCGCAGAGCGGGCGGCCAGTGCCGTGAGACTCCCCCTGGGCGAGGCGTACCGCTCCGTCTCGCAGCGGGGAGTGCGGCGCCCCCTGGGCGAGGCTTCTGGACGGAGCTGCGAGCGGGTGGGCTGCACCGCTTCAGTGGTGTGCCCGCCCGATTGGTGATCGTTTTTTATCCATTGTTTCGCCGATCGGCGCGGGCCCTCGCACCCCACACCTCTCCCCCCCCTCCATGGAGTAGATCTTGGCTGTTTTTGGCGCCTGTTTCGAGCAGGGGGGGTCCCTCCAAGGGGACTCACGGTTCCAAGCAGTCACAATAAGCAGAGGTCCGGAGCCAGACCCCCCCCCCCTTCCCCCCCTTTTCCCTTCCAATGTCGAAACGCCGACTAAAAAAGCGCTCACCTGTTCATCGGCGGCTGGCTGAGGCCAAGGAGTGCCGGGCCAGCTCTGGCAGCAGCAGGACACGCGCAGCCGTGCGGTGCCGCTGTGAGACGCAGGGGGAGGGGCCCCCCGGCAGAGGCGCGCCGGGGGCGCAGGCCCTGTCGCGCCCGGGCCACGGCATGGGACCTCTCGGGCCCCCCCTCCCCTCTTCTCCCCCGCCGCGAGCCTCGGCCGCGAGTGGGCTCCCCGACCCAGATCTCGAGAGCGGCCCGAAAACCAGAGCCCTTCCTCAACCCAGAGCGGTCCGTTCCGTGCGTGGGCCTGGGGGCCAGTCGGCCGGGCCTGCCGGCAGTGGTCACGCGGGGTGGCGGCTCGCTGCTGTCGGCCACCGCAGCAGATTCTGGTAGCGTCTCGGCAGCCCCCCGCTGCCCAGCTCTGCCGTGCAGGCGCACCCCCGGCGCCCCCTCCCCGCCGAGCACCCCCGCGGCGCCGCGCACGCGCGCGCGGAAGGCCGCGGCCTTTCTTGCAGGGCTGCGGCTGCGGGCCGCGCCACCCGGTTGGTCGGGGCCCCCCGGTGCCAGCTTCGGGCGCAGCGGCCCCCAGCGCGCGCTCAGGAGCGGGACGCGGAGTTCGGGCGGCGCTGGGTGAGTGACATGGTCGGTGGCATCGCCTGCTCGGAGCGGCACCGGGCCGAGGACGTGAAATGGAGGCAGCTCGAGGTCCTCTTCGGCGAGGCCCCGGCTCCCTGTGTCCATCGCGCCGGAGGGGGGAGAAGAGAGGGAGGAGGAGGAGTAGGAGGAGAAGGAGGATGAGGAGAGGTCGGAGGAGGAGTAGGAGGAGAAGGGGGAGGATGAGGAGAGGGAGGAGGCGGAGGAGGAGGATGAGGAGGAGGATGAGGAGGAGCAGGAGGAGGAGGAGGGGGAGGAGGAGGGGGAGGAGGAGGAGGAGGACGCGGAGGGGGAGCAGGAGGAGAAGGATGAGGGGGAGGAGGAATAGTAATAATGAGAAGAAGAGGATGAGGCGGAGGAGGAGGAAACCCAATATTCATCAACGGTGCTGCAATACGCCCACCTGTTCTAATTTCCATTTCCTTCCTCGTGAGCCCCTACAGGGATTCACTTCACTGCGAGATGTGACCCCTTTAAAGACAAGCGCCCCATGGTCTTGCAATTCAGGCGAGAGGACCATTTTGACAAGGAGCTGGCATTCATGCTCCCAGATGAACGGACGGCGACGACGTATGAACATAAAGTCCAACGAAGTGTCCAGCGATAGCCTGCTTTGAAAACGAGCCGTCCTCCAGCCGCGCCCGCAGGACGCCTCAGGCGAGAGCCCCGATTTGGAAAAGAGCTGCCCGTCTTCCGCGTAGCAGCCGCACAGATATGTGTATATATATATATACCTATGATCGTAAGGACGAAGGAAACCTCAAGCGAAAGTTATGTGTTGAAAATGAACAGCCCTCCACCCGCGTAGCTGTTAGGGCACTTTAAGACGAATGTGGGCGGCGCTGGGGCGAAAGCCACATTTTGACCCCTCTCCCATCCGTGTCCTTGGTGGGGAATTTTAAGACGAATGTGCGCGGCGCTGGGGCAAGAACCAGATTTTGGGGCCGCTTTCAGTTCCTGTAGCTGTCAGAAGCTGTTAAGACGAACGCGATGCTCTAGGGCGAGAGTCGCACGGTGCAAACAACTCCCCCGCCATTCAGCTGTTGGAGGCTCTGAAGACGAATACTCGCGGCGCTAAAGCGGGGGCCACATTTTGAAAACCGCTGCCTTCAATCCGTGTAATTGTCGGGGGCCTCTAGCTTGAAGACGACTGCGCGCGGCGCTGAGGCGAGAGCCACATTCTGGAATCTCCCCTCTGCAGCGGTGCAACTGTGAAAAGCTTTGAAGACGATTGTGCGCTTGCGCGGCGAGAGCCACATTTGGTTCCCCATCCGTGTGTATATGTTCGGGATTTCAAGCTTCCGGGTCATCTAGCGGGGAGAGTCTCAGGCGAAATGCCCAGCCCGCCCTGACTATCGAGGAGTGCTCTCGAAAGCAAAGGGGTGGAGTGAGGCAGAGGAGGAGGAGGGAGGATGGAGGGAGGAGTGAGGGAAGGGAGGGAGGGAGGGAGGAGGGAGGAGGGAGGAGGAGGGGGAGGAGGGAGGAGTGAGGAGGGAGGAGGAGGGGAAGGGAGGGAGGAGGGGAAGGGAGGAGGGAGGGAGGGAAGGAGGAGTGAAGGGGAAGGGAGGGCGGTAGGGAGGGACGGAGGAAGAACCCCTCCTCCGTCATTCTCCTTCCGCGATCCTTTTCCTCCTCCTGGGCTGTCTAGACTATCCAGGCCCCTTGCTCAAGCACGTGCGCAGTAGCCGCAAGACCCTATTCGAGTGCCATCGTTCCATCTCCTTCCCAGCAGACGAAGGGAATCGTATGCCAGGACTAGCAGGACGGAGAGTTATGCGCGCTCATCGTGCGATGATCATATCGTGGCATTCGGGCATACGGAGGCGCGGTCTGGAAGACGAGCACCCACCTTGAGCGCCAGGCTGTCTTGCCCACGGGTCTCGAGAACATGTGATCCTCTGCGTCCAGGCCGCACAGCTGAGGTCCACGCAAGGCGGGGTCGGTGCAGCTATAATGGACGTCGACGGTACGAACGCCTTCGCAGCCACAAAGCGCCCTCAATTGAGGGTGGTTGCGTGGAAGCATGCAGCAGTGGCAGACAAGGGGTTCGCAGCGCAAGCAATCCACAACACATCGATGGAAGCAGCAGACGGAATGGTCGAGACTGCTACCACATCGGGGGATCCAGATGGGCTTCACTCTAGCCTCATGACCCCAAAGCAGTTTAACGACTGCTGCAACATATGCGTCAAACGCTGGTGGGAGGAAACGCGAAGTGACGCAAACCAACAGCTGCTGGATACTGTGTATCATGTGGCGTGTGCAGCGTACGATTCATCACTTAGCACGTTCATGGATCATCTTACGAAGACGTATGCAATACTACAACACGCCGCGGCAAGGGACACGGAGACGGCGCTGAATGGGTACGTAGACAGCATGCAGCGGCACCTGGACGTAGGAGGGGACTCAGCCAGGGCGAACGTAACCACCTTTTGCACATCACAGGGGCTGGGGCACATGCAGTTACCAAACGGCTCAGACGAAACAAGCACCTCAAGGGGGAAGACCCTCCGAGAGATGCGCGTGCTCGGCCCGCCACTGCCAGCCGACCAGTGAATCACGCAAGAGGTCGCGAGAAGGATAACCGCAATGAAGGTTGCTTGGCGCCAAGGAGGGATCATTTGGACCAGCAGAACTCCGATGCAAATCGAACGGCTCACGTTCCAAGCTGTTGTTTTGGGAGCAGGGCTGTCGGGTCTTGCGACATTCGTGCTCGCGCGGCAGATGTGCCAAGCTTGGATGATCTGCAAATACCTCGGAAAGTTTGCTGGTGCTAGAATGAGCTGGCAGAAGGAGGGCGGGGACAGGAGATGCAATTGCACAAGCCAGGTATGTAGGCACTAGCGCCTCGTCCCTTGGGCGGATTTCTCGTCGCGGGATTTTTTCCGATGGCCCTGGGGCCCCAAGCCAGGCTAGCCCGCGGACGTCACCCCTTCCGAGGAAAATTAACGCGTGCAGTGCTTTTTCGCGACGTTGCAGATGTGGGGGTATTTTCTCGCCATTTTCAGAATGACGACGACGACGACGACGACGACGACGACGACGACGACGACGACGACGACGACGACGACGACGACGACGACGACGACGACGACACCAACAACAACCATTTCAAGACGTCAAGACTGTTCGCTCTTATCTGCTCGCGTGCCATTCAACATGTGTACCCCGATCCCTCTATACCCGTCCTCTTCGTCTTCGATCGTACCCTCTTGGGGTATATCTTCCTTACCTGCCACGTGTAGTTAGCGCAGCCCCTAGAACACGGGCAGGAAGGGAGGAGGGAAGAGACGAGGGGGAGGGAGAAGGATGGAGCACGAGAGAGATTTGCAGGAGGGGGGTTAGGAGCATGAGCACACGCAGCAGAACCAGACGGGCGGGTCGGGCGGGCAGGTCGGGCGGGCGGGCCCAGACGACCGGGTCGTGCGGGCGGGTCGTTGAAGAGGCAATCCAACAAGAATCGCACGGAAGTTTCGAGCGACAGCGCGATTTCCAAGTAAATCGTGAGGAAATCCACAGCGAGAGCGTGATTCTTGAGTGTTGGGGGCACGGCGCCGCAATACATTCATTGCGAGGAGGGACCACGCGAGAGCGCGGCTTCTGCATACATTCTAAGGACGGCCCGCGCGAGAGCGCGATTTTGAAATGCATTTGAAAGGAAGTATCGGGCGGGAGCCGCTGTTGTTGTAAACCAGGGGCCAGGGACACAGTTTGAGGAGGAAGACTTTCCCTGATAAGGCAGTGTGCGAGCCCCGAGGGGGGCACTTCAATAGGAACAGTACAATGTGTACCCGGCATTGGGATCAGCAGTAGTTATCCTTCATTAGTGAGAGTTCAACAACAAAACGATGATGATGGTGATGATGATGTTGATGATGATGATGGTGATTGTGATGATGATGATGGTGATGAGGATGCTGATGATGTTGATGATGTTGATGATGATGATGATGATGATGATGATGATGATGATGATGATGATGATGATGATGATGATGAGGCTGTCGATGATGATAATGGCTATGACGACGGTGATGGTGATGGTGATGGTGATGGTGATGGTGATCAGTTGATCATGGTGATGATGGTTATGGCAAGTATGAAGATGCTGGTGGTGGTGGTGGTAACGATGATGAAGATGGGGTTGGTGATGATGAGTAATGGTCGTCGTGGTGTTCGTGATGATGAGGACGAACAGGAGGACGATGAGGAAGAGGAGGAGGAGGAGGAAGAGGAGGAGGACGAGGAGGATGAGGATGAGGAGGACAAGGATGATGACGACGACGAGGAGGACGACGACGAGGAGGGCAAGCTCCCGCGCCCCCTCCGCGGCAGCCGCGCGGCCGCCCTTCCCCCCTCCTCCCCCCACCTGCCCCCGCGGCCCCCGCCGAGGTGCCGTCCTGGGCGGACCATCTGCCCGCCGGCACCCGCCAGGAGGACCCGCTGCTGCCGGCGAGGCGGCGGCGGCCGCGGCGAGGACGAGAAGGACGAGGACGAGGACGACGAGGAGGTTTACGGCGAGAACGAGGTCGAGGCCGAGGACGAGGACGAGGACGAGGACGACGAGGACGAGGAGGACGAGGACGAGGACGAGGACGAGGACGAGGACGACGAGGAGGTTGACGACGGCGGCCGCGGCGGCGGCGACGGCGACGGCGGGCACCCGCCCGATGGAGCGCTGCTGCCGTCGGGGCGGCGGCGGCGGCAGCGATGAGGACGACGAGGATCGCCGTGGAGCGGACGGGTCCGGAGCTTACTCCAGATTTCGTAATAAAGGGAGGGGGGGTCTCATTTCGGGGGGGGGGGTCTCTTCCAGGCTATCTTGGAGTGCCTGGGGAGTCTGGGGACGATGTTTTGGAGGGTTCTCCCACGGGGGAGGTCTGAAGTGGCTTGTCTTGGAGGGTCCAGACCCCCTCCCGTTTGTTACGAAATCTGGAGTAGTTGCCCTGATGCGCCTGTGCTCAAAACCTCCGTGGTCAACAAGCTGCGTGTTGGCTTCGGCACGTGCTCGTCCACGTTGTGGCGAACGTGCTGCGCCAGGTTTGCGTCTCCAGGCTATCTCTGGAGCTCTGTGACAACACGCTACGTGCTGCGTGTCACGTATCGGGGCAGCTGAGGTCCCGAGAGGAACGCGTCCTGGAGTTCCTTCCTCGTTTTCGGGCGCTCGGGGCGTGCCCCAGGCCCGGGGCCGTTGGAAAGCGGCCCAAGAGGCAGGGCTGGTCCTGGGGGCAGCCCTGGGGTTCCAGGACCCGCTTCCCTCAGGATCCGTTCCCTTCCTTCCCGACGATGACGACGAGGACGAGGCCGGCGAGGACGACGAGGTTGACGACGGAAAGAGCGTGTTCTACCGCTGCTGGCGGAAAACCGGGGGTGTCACTACCGGTTCGAACCCCTCCCCCCCCCACCCCTCTGGAAAACCGGGGGGGGTCACTACCGGTTCGAACCCCTCCCCCCCCCCCCCAGTTCATCATGAAAAGGGGGGGGGGTCACTACCGGTTCGAACCCCCCCCCCCCCTCGAACTCGAAAACCGGGGGGGGTCACTACCGGTTCGAACCCCCGCCCCCTTCGAAAACCGAGGGGTGGTGCGGACAGTGGTGGGGACGGTGGTGGTGGGGACAGTGGTGAGGGGACAACGGGACAGTGGTGGGGACAGTGGTACAGTGGTGGGGACGGTAGTGGTGGGGACAATGGGGAGGACAATGGTGGGAACAGTGGGGACAGTGGGACAGTGGTGGGGACGGTGGTGGTGGGGACAGTGGTGTGGGGACAGTGGGAATGTGGTGGAAACAGTGGGACAGTGGAGGGTACAGTGGTGGTGGGGACAGTGGTGAAGGCGGTGGCGAGGACGGCGGTGGGAAAATGGGACAGAGGTACAGTGGGGGCAGTGGTGGGGACAGTGGGGACAGTGGTGGGAACAGTGGGACAGCTCAGTGGGACAGCGGAGGAGTCAGTGGGACAGTGGGGACGGTGGGGATAGTCGTGGAGAAAGTTAGGAGAGTGGAACCGTGGTGGGAACAGTGGTGGGGACAGTGGGGGACAGTGCGACAGTGGTGGTGGCATTGGTGGGGACAGTAGGGGCGGTGGTGGAACCAGTGGGGACAGTGGTGGTGAGGACAGTGGCGCTGGGAACAACAGTGGGGGATGTGGTGAGGACGGTGGTAGGGACCGGGAGTCGTTTGCTGGAGGTGAGAGGTGGGGAGGGGTTCGAACCGGTACCCCCCCTCCGGTTTTCGTTCCGGTAGTGAAAAGGGGGGGGGTTTTGCGGGGGACAATTTTCCACAGTAAAGCGGCGGTGGATCACGCTCTCTCGGACGACGAGGACGGCGAGGTTGCGGCGAGGACGCGGCGAGGAGGACGACGAAGACGGGGACGTCAGGGCTCTGGAGACCGGGGCATCTGCAGGCCAGGACTTTGCCACGTCCAGCGGGAGACAGCGGATCACTGAGCGTGCCGGCGCCTCTGTCGAGCAGGGTCCCCGCGTGTCGCGTCGGCGCGGCGGCGGTGCCTGCGCGGGCGGCCAAGGCCGAACGCCGAGGGCCCGGAGTCGGCCGGCAGCGAGAGGTCTGCCTGCGCTAGCGGGAAGCCGCCATTGCTCACCACCCACCAAACCACCCCAACCCAACCCGAAGGCTCAGATTTACCCTCGATTTCCAGTGGGGGGGGGTCGGGAAACATCGAAAAAACACATGTGGAACCCTTACCCCCCCCAACCCGAAATTCGGGTCTTCGGGTTGGGTTGGGGTGGTCTGGTAGGTAGTCAATTGCTGGAAGGCTGACGGGCCCACGCGGTGTCACAATGACCAACGCGCAGGTCGCGACGACACGGCCCGACAGCTCGATCGGATGCGTTCTGGCAAAACCCCCCTAAGGATCCTCAGGGGGGGATCCACGGAGACCATTTTTCCTGCGTGGGCGACCCGAGCAGGGATGCACTTGAACCACACGGCTTCGAGCGTGGGTCTGCCCGTCTACCTATGTTGCCGTACAAGGCCTTTCGAGGACGAGGACGACGAGGCTGACGAAGACGGCGGCCTTGACGGCGGCGATGACGGCGGACACCTGGCTCGAGGATCTGCTGCCGGCTGACGTGGACAAGAGGAGGGGGCGCTGGGAGCGTCGTCGTCGTTCGGGATTCGAGGCTCGAACCGTTTCGGGTCTTTTTGGCCCCACGGGACGCTTCTCGTCGCCGCGGCTGGATTCTCTTTGAAGCTCCTGTCAGACCGCACACCAGGAGAGTTCTGGGGTCCAGGGATCGATATTCGATGGAGGTCCGATTCTGCTGCTCTGCGCTGGGGCCTGCGCGCTTTTTTGACGCGTTTGCGCACGTTTTGCGCAGCAGGTCCGGATGCAAGCTGCAGTTTCCCCCGCATCTTTCGTATGTGGGTTTGTTTCTCCAAGGATGTTGGAGATGGGTGGATTGTGCTTTGGTGTTTCTGGCCCTTCCTGGGTGCTTTCAGAGTATGCCGTGGACGAATGTCTACTTGTACCACGTCAGATGATGCTCACCGTAGACATTCCCCATGGTGGTCACTCAGGGGCATGTGGGCGGCCTGGCTCTGAGCTCGCAGGGCACTGCCTCCGAGATTATTCGTGCGCTCATTCCTGCAGCATGGCGTCGCTGCCATGGCGTTGACAGTCTGTGGCTGGCGCTGTCTGCCAGGTCGCCCCTCGTCTGCAGCCGGCGTGCTCTTTCCGCAGTTCTCGGCAGCTCGACACCGTTGGCGTCAATGTGCGAGTCCAGGACGCGGTTCGGGATCTCGGCGCGGCTGCCGCCGCTGGGAAGGGCGGGTCTTCCAAGGCCCGTGCTCGATTGGTATCCATTTCAGAGGGCTTCCAAGCTCTGTAAGCCTGGGGTGCTGTCGGTTTACTCTTTGGGGCGCAGCGTTTTGGGCTCCCCTCCTAACTGAGCGCGTTCGGAACGCAGATCGGGCGCGGGCTGCCACGTGTTCTGGGTGGTGGTGTCCCTGGGCCATGCAATGCTGCGCTGTGGGGCATCTGGTGGGCGGATTCTGCCGACCCGCCGCATCGGCTTCGTCGGGGGCAGCTCCTGGGATTTCGCCAGTTGCGGCTTCCGTGGGTCCTGTAGCCAAGATGCGCACCGCTCGCCCTTGGATCGGCGTCACCCCAACATGCTTCTACTATATGTGCGTCGCCCCCCTTGGGGCGACGCGCGCACCGGGAAATCTCATAGTAGATGCGTCGTGGGGGCCGCTTCCTGGCCACACCGCTCGGGAATACTATATGTTCGGGTCGGACGCGCGCCTCCAAGGAGGTCATATAGTATTAGTATGTCCCTGTGCGTCCCAATGGAAAGTTCGAGCAGATGAATTTGCTTGCCTGTCGCCAGGGCGCATTTGGAGACGACTGGCAGCGCTCATTGATTCGGGGTGGCAGCCAGTCTCGCCCATCCTGCGGGTCGTTCTCCCGAGGCTGGCCCGCCTCCCCCTCCTCCTTCTCCTCCTCCTCCTCCTCCTGCTCCTCCTCCTCCTCCTCGTCCTCGTCCTCCTCCTCCTCTTCCCCCTGCTGCTCCTCCTCCTCCTTCTCCTTCGCCTCCTCCTCCTCCGCCTTCTCCGCCTCCTCCGCCGCCTCCCCCCGATCTCCCGTTCCAGATGTGGTAGCTGCCGAAGAGCACCCGCAATCGGGTCGTCTTGGAAGTCAGTCGTGAACCACTGCCTCGGGCAAGGGGCTCATGGAGGAGACGATTTCACGTGCGTGCGTTCTTTGCTTTTCTAAGATGGGGAAGGACTTGGAGCATGAAGGCAACTATTTTTGCGGGATGCTCTCGTCGACGGATTTTGGCTTGAACCTGGTCTGGTGGAGCGTGGGTGCGACAGCGATCTCAGGTCGTGAGTCCGAGACCTCGCTTCATCGGTTCCGCAGGTGCGAGCGCAAATTGCCAGATCCCGTCGCCCGCCGTGTGGCGGACCCAGTCCTTGTGTGCTCGAGCACTTGGGGAGGTTGCTCATTGTCCTGCGCTTCGGTGCCGTGGGTTTCTGCCCAAGTCCCGCGCGATGGGCCATCTTCCGCCGCCTGCCGATCTGATTCGTTTCTTTTTTTGGGGGGGGTCTCGGGGGCGGCCCCATCTCGCTAGGGGGGCGTCCGGGGATCGACGGGTCGGGGGGGGGGGGGGGGGCGGCAGCACGCTGAGGACTGGAGGCTGAGGCGATGCGGGTGGGCGTGCGTCCGCTTGGGTGCTTCTTGAAGTGACGTCGGGGCTTTGATTGCTGGCACCTCGCATGGGGGGCGTCCGACGTGGTCATAGGGCAGAGCTGGCGGCCCTGATCACAGTCCTGAAGCACGCCGCGGGGTGGCTTCTCATCTCTTCCGGCTACGTGTCAGTGGTGCGAGGTTTGAGGAAGGCCTCAGTGGTGCTCGAGATGCTCGATACGATGGATCGTTGGGTCGATTCATGGGGCATTCCGGATCGCAAGGAGGTGCGTGTGTGTGTGTGTGTGTGTGCGCGTGTGCGTGTGCGTGTGTGCGCGTGTGTGGGGGTCGAGTCGTTGTGCGCCAAGTCTCACGCCACGGCTCCGCAGGTCGAGGCGGTGGGCCTGGCCAGGGTTGAACGCGTTTCCAAACGCGGCGGCAGAGGGAGCCGCTGGAGAGGAGGCCAAGCGTGCAGCGCCGCCGCAGTCCCTCGTGGACCCCGCCCTCCGAGGAGCGTGTTTCTTTATTGCTTGGGGCATAATGGGTATTATAGTCCCCTCCGCCCCCCCTCCCCCCCTATAAAGTAACGCCCCTCCCCGCCCCCCCCCAGTGCGCTCTGGGCACTGCCGCCGTGCGCATCAGGCACACGGCGGGGGGAGGCGTTACATTATACCCCCCCCCCCCGGCCCCCTACCCCCCCTACAATGCGCATTCTCGCCGAAAATGAAGAAGCGCGCTCGAGCAGATACGCTCCGCCGTGATACGGTAGGTTCGCGTCGTGTCGACCGGCTGCGGCCCCAGCGCGGGCGTGTAAGGTTGAACGCCGCCCGTGGCACAGAATCGGCTCATCGTTAAACGATTCTGCGCTTCTCAAAGGGCCGATCGTTCAAGTTTGAACGATCTCCGCGGTGTCAGGAGCCAACGCCAGGGTCGATACGACGCGAATCTGTAGTATTCTATCTCGCGCACGCGTGACCGTGCGCGTGTGCTGACCGCGAGCATGCGCGCGTGTGCGTGGGCCTGCCTCGGGCCTGCGCGCGCGTGGCGCGAGTGACTGAGCCGGGGCGCAGCTCTGTCGTCATGAAGACTCTGATCTAGTACAATACAGTGGAGCCTCCTCCTCCTCCCCCCTCTCCTCCTCCTCCTCCTCCTCCTCCTCCTCCTCCTCCTCCTCCTCCTCCTCCTCCTCCTCCTCCTCCTCCTCCTCCGTCTCTTCCTCCTCTTCCTCCTCCTCCTCCTCCTCCTCTTCCTCCTCCTCCTCCTCCTCCTCTTCTATAGTGGAGACCCATGCCAAGAAACACCCTGCTTGCCTCCAGGGTGCCCTGGGTATCTTGGATTTGCAATGGAAAGCGGGACATTCCCACACCAAACATCGGTAGACGTCCTGGGGTCTCAGGGTTGGGTTTCTTGTGGACGGTTTCTTGTGGAGGGGCCCTTACTGTAGTTGTAGTTGGAAGTTTGGTCGCTTAAGGCTCCTTGCGAATCTGCAGCCTGCTGTGTGTGAAGATTCGAAGCTGTCACATCCGTGCGAGCCTGATGGAGTTGGAGGGGGGGCCACTTGAGGTCAGGGGGGGGGCGGCCGGTTTGCCTCGGTTCGGGGTCCCGTCGGACCATCCCCGGGCCTCGCAGGGGTGTATGGTATTGCAGTACGCGTGGCAGTTTCTGCGCCACAGGCGTGCGGAATCTGCAAGGACAGCGCCCCCCTGATGGCCCCATTGCCAAGGGTCGTGAAGCCCCTGTCCAGGCTTTCCAGGGGGCTGCCCCCGAAATAGGGCATGTCCTTTCCACGCAATTAGTCCCAATTCAGGGTGAGGTTCTCCAGCCCTGGCTCCCTTCGGGATGGGCGTCGCCCACGGCGTTTGGGTTTTGGCTCGTCCCAACTCAGGGCGACGTCCTCTAGTGAAGGCGTCCTGCAGCCCTGTCTTTGAAGTCTCGTCTGTCAGGCTAGCATTGGTTGTCCGCAACTGCTGCTTAATGCTTAGTGCTCCTTCTCCTCTTCTTCTTCCTTCTTCTCCTCCTCCTCCTCTCCTCCTCCTCCTCCTCCTCCTCCTCCTCCTCCTCCTCCATCTCCTCCTCCTCCTCCTCCTCCTCCTCATCTCCTCCTCCTCCTCCTCCTCCCCCCCTCCTCCTCCTCCTCCTCCTCCTCCTCCTCCTCCACTCTCTCTGTCGCTCTCTCTCTCTCTCTCCTCCCTCCTCCCTTCTCTCTTCTCCCTTCTCCTTCCTTCCTTCTCCCTCCTCCCTTCTGCTGCTGCCCCTGGTGCTCTTCCCTTCTCCTCCTCCTCCCGCCTGCCAGTCCTGCTTCCCTCCCTCGTTGTCCTTCTCCTTTTTTTTCCTCCTCCCGCTCCTCCCTCCCCCCTCCCTCCCTCCCCCCTGCGCGCCGGCGCAGATTGGGCTCCCGGGAGCGGGGATGGAGGGAGGGGGGATGGAGGGAGGAGGCGCTAGCACATGGGAGTTTGGGAGAAGGGAGGAGAGAGGAGGAAGGCAGGGAGGGAGGGGGAGTTGGCGGAGGCTTGGGAGGAGGACGTAGAGAGGGAGGGGGAGGAGGAGGAGGAGGAGGAGGAGGAGGAGGAGGAGGAGGAGGAGGAGGAGGAGGAGGAGGCGGGGAGGCAGAGGAGGGCGGAGGAGGGGGAGGAGGCGGAGGAGGCGGATGAGGCGGAGGAGGCGGAGGCGGAGGCGGAGGCGGAGGCGGAGGCGGAGGCGGAGGCGGAGGCGGCGGAGGAGGAGGAGGAAGAGGAGGAGGAGGAGGAGGAGGAGGAGGAGGAGGAGGAGGAGTAGGAGGAGGAGAATGAGGAGGAATAATCATGATATTTATAGTAGTAATACATATAATAATACCAGTACCAATAATAAACAAACTAATCTTATAATAATAGTAATAAGACGAATGCTACTAACACTAAGAAGAAACTTACTACTACTGATACAACCAACCATACTGATGATAGTAATAA